TATGGGTTTGACATGGTCTTCTTCAGGGGTGGATTTTTGCCTTCTCAGATTATTTGTAGTCTTCCTGATTATCTTCTATCCAAGCTTTTACCAAGTCTGACCCTAGTACTTTGAGATCAGCCAAGGTTAGGGCTTTTCATGTTCTTACCTATTATCCTCAAAACCGTCACACATCAAGTTTTTGAGTAAGTCTTTTCAAGATCAAATAGAACATCTTCCAGCTACACAACACAACTAAAATCTATAATCAGTTTATCCTGAGAAGCTTCTAGGTAGGGATTACATTACCAGTTTTTTATATAACAATTCGTTGGTTCAAATTTATTTTAAATGGTTGTACCCCCCAAAATGTTTTGTGGCAATTTCAAAGACTTATTAAAGCTTACATCGTAATGTTGTTACTCTTTAAGCTGCCGTAAGTTTCTGTGGGTTTCGTTGCATTTGGCATTTTTCAAGAAAAAAGACAAATCTGTGTAAGTAGCAATCGAAATCATTTTTATCTCTTGAAACTGAGACTTTATTAACTAGACTGGTGAGACCATCCTTGCTTTGAATCTCCATCCCATAAGCTTTCGAAATGGAAAATGCAAATCAGATCAAATCGAATCTTTTTATTATTGGCCTTTCGGTCAGAGAAACCTGCAATAAAAGTACATAAACTTCAAAACAATTATTTAAATCCTTCGTTATTGATATATATGAATTGTTAGCACCCACAATTCTTCCGCGCGTCCCATACCTCGGGATAATTTGCTTAGTTGTAAGCTTTGTGGCTTGCAGAATTTAAAGCTGCTTTCCCCCCCCTCCCTCAGTGGGTGTTGTTACTGTACAAACAAAATGTGGGTCAGCCAAATTGGAACAATGGATTAGGAGTTTCCCCGAGTTTCATCCCTTTCAAACTCCTACTTGACCCGAAGAGTTGCAGCTGCAGAATCAGACCTCACATTCCTTAAAACAACATGTCAGTTGTGGGAATAGGCGTTGCTGTCTCTCGTCTCTACCCCCAATCAGTCCCTTGCTAATGAGATGATCCATCTCCATGGGAGTGTCCCACTGATGTAGCTCAAGTAACATCCATGGTATCGGAGAAGAGGGATTACCACGAACCCACCTCGCTGTGGGAACAACACACACTTCCACGTTCATCTCACTCGGCTAGCAAATATTTTGAATTGCTGTTATTCCAGTACTAGGCACGCCATTAGTTTTTGATCAAAACCTTTTTGCCTAGCCACAGCAATTCCATGCTAGTTTAGAAGTGTTGGTAACTACGTTATAATGCCTTGGTTAACGTCACGCTTAGAATACTGCACGTAGGTTTGGTCAACACAACATGAAAAAGATGTTGAGACTCTAGAAAGAATGCAGAGAGGAGCAACAAAGATGATTAGGGGACTGGAGGCTAAAACACATGAAGAACGGTTGCAGGAATTGGGTGCATCTAGTTTAATGAAAAGGCCTAGGAGTGACATGATAGCAGTCTTCCAATGATTTGAGAGGTTGCCACAAAGAAGAGGGGGTCAAGCTATTATTCAAAGCACCAGAAGGCAGGAACAGCAGCAATGGGCTAATCAAGGAGAGAAGCAACCTAGAAATAAGAAGGAATTTCCTGACGATTAATCAGTGGGACCAACGGCCTTCAGAGGTCGTGGGGGCTCCATCCATGGAGTTTTTCAAGAAGAGATTGGACATCCACTTGTTTGAAATGGTACACAGTCTCCTGCTTGAGCAGGGACTTGGACTAGAGGACCTTACAAGGTCCCTTCCAACTGTGTTATGCTGGCTGGGGAATTCTGGGAGTTGAAGTCCATAAGCCTTATTGTTGCAAATGTTGGACACCCCTGATTTAAACCATTGTAAGTTGAAGAACTGCCTGTTTAAAGGCAAACAGACCTGGATTTGCCCCACAGAGGCAAAGTGGCAATGCGTTTTAAATTTGTAGGGTGGAAAATTGGAGGGATGCTTATTCTTTTGTTAGCCTTCAACACAGAGACTTTATTCAGAAGCCATGGTCATTTTTTTTTTTAAAAAAACCTGGCTTATTAAACATGTAACTAGGGAAAGTTACAAGTGTTTTTCAATTTTTTTTTTTGGCAGCTCTTGGTTTTTCTTTAATTGAGACTTCTATGGATTGATCAGAAGCAGAAGGACCAAATCAGAAACAAACCAGGAAGCCACTATTATTCGGATAATGTGTAAACCCAGATTTGGAAGAAGCAGACTGGTTTACTTCTCCATCATAGAGTGACCATGCCAGAAAGGTGACTTAAGAAGCTTCTGCCAACCTGATTGTTTGATATGTTGTTTTAACACATCAGAGAAATGACGTGGCACTTTCACAATTTGGATTATCATGAAAACATCACTCAAAATACATACCTGAAGTAGGATAACGCCAACTGTAACAAGCTACGAAATCTGTGAATAATTTTCTTCTTATACTCACATGAAAAATTAATGCTGCTAATGTAAAATATTGTTATATACTTATTTTCTTTGTTCCTTGCCTTGAGATGGTATTGCCAACCACTAGGCGGTGATAGAGGGCCATAAAAAACCCCATTAAATTTGTTGAAAATTCACAAAGTTTAGGTCAACTTGGGGGGAAAAAAAACCCTTCCATGGCTAATTAAAGGTTATGCTAAAGCCAAAGAATTAAGGAAGAACCTGCAGTTACTTTCTAAGACAAACCAAAATCCTGATTGGATAATGATAGTGTTTGCTCTCAAATTCATAACTTTTACAATAATCATGAGAAAAATCCCTCTACTGTGGGAAATCTACATTAAACTGGAGCAACTGGGAACCACCCATGGCTAGTCATTCATTTCTATAGATGTAATAATAATTGTAGAATCTCATGAACTTGGAGGTTTTTTTCTTTTTTGACTTGAAATCTAGCCACTTTTGCTAAACACAGATAGTCCTCAACTTACAATTGAGCCCCAAATTTATGTTGCTGAGAAATTGGTTAAGTTTTGCCCCATTTTACGACTTGCCACAAGAGTTGATGTGAAGTTGTTAAGTTAGCAACACTGCATGCTGCAATGGTCGTAAGGGTGAACAATGGTCACAAGCCACTTTTCCCACTGCTGTTGTAAACTTGGTCACTAGACAAATGGTTGTAAGTAGAGGATGACCTGCAAAGAACAAATGAGTAGTTCTTCAGTCATTCTGTAACCCACAAAATGGTGTGTTTTTTTTTAAACGGAAGGCAACAAGCGTGGATATACAGGTCATCCTTGATTTACAACAGTTCATTTAGTGACTGTTTAAGACGGCACCAAAAAAGTGACTTCAGACCGTTTTTCACACTTATGAGCTTTCCAGAAGCCCCGTGATCAAAATTCAGATGCTTGGCAACGGGTTCATATTTATGATGGTGATGATCCCCTTTTTGTGACCTTCTGATGAGCCAAGACAATGGGGAAGCCATGGGCCGTTTTGGTGCCTCTAGATCAGGGGTCTCCAACCTTGGCAACTTTAAGACGTAGCAAAGCTGGCTGAGGAATTCTGGGAGTTGAAGTCCACACGTCTTAAAGTTGCCAAGGTTGGACACCCCTGCTCTAGATAACCTAAAACACTTTTGTTTCCACATGGATACCGCTTCTGAACTTCATGCTTGATGTGGGAAAGAATGAAACGTTGACTTTGGGTTTTACAGATTAGATTGATAGATCTTTAGAGAAGTGACTTGTTCACACTATTACGGAAAAGCAAAAGGCTGTGATTGGATGCTAATGCCTTATTTGTGATGACCCAAAGGGGCGTGGCACAAAGGCAACACAGTCCAATAAGAAGAAGAATCCCTGTAGCACCTCCAACTTTGCCCCCAATGTCCAGAGGTTATCTTCGGCTGGAGAAAAAAACTCTCCCAGGAACAGCCTTTAAGTAGAGGAAATTCAGTCCGAAAACAAAGCACATACAAACTGTAACTAAAAATCCAAACAAACCACGCTGAAGTAGGGCAGGAGAAGGAGTTGCAGACTTGAAAGCCCAGCAAAACACACACAGTTGGGAAGACGCCAGCAACACAGATAAGCCTCGATGATACCAGATAATTCACTATTTGCTCCCAACAGTTTGCTGTGCGCAGCTTCCGTTTTTAAACAGCGTTCCCAGCTTCAGCTAATGAAGGGAATCAGGGCCCTTTCCTCCCCCATGAGCCATGCAACTCACGTTGCTCCCTTCTCCGTTCCTCTATGCATGCCCTAGGATGAAGAGGGGGTGGGCCTGGATCTTCCTCCGAATTCCCTCTCCCTTGCTCTACCTCTCCCCCGCTCTGCCCAGCCAGACTTTGCCCTTCCCCAGTTTCTTCCACAGCCAATGGATCCACGCTCCCACCTCCGTCAGCTGTTCGGCCTCCCCCTCCGAATCAGTTTCCGACAGGGGCATGACATTATTCTACTGCAACAGAGTGTCGGAACTCAATGCATCTTTTTTCTTTTCTTTTTCTTACCTTTCCTCATTTTTCTTTCCCCCTTTCCCTCCTCCCCTACTCTTTTATTGACTTTTGCATTTTGTATAATACCGTATAATTAAAAAAAACATGTTCAGAAGACAATGAGGAAACCAGATTCACTTAACCACCATGTTACTACTTGACAACTGCAGTGATTGACTTAACAACTTTGGCAAGACAGGTGGTGAAATGGGGCAAAACAAACTTAACAAATTTCTCACTGAGCAACATAAATTTTGAACTCTTGTGGTCATGGAGGACTACCTGTACTTGGCTGCACTGCTAATTTGTATGCAATTATTGTGATACTTTTCAGTTGCCTGTGTGTGTGTGTGTGTGTCATTTGAAACTGTTTTCATGGTTTTGATTGCTGGGATGTTGTTTGCCACCCTGAATCGATCCGATTGAGATGGGCGGCTACGGAAATTGAATTGATCAATCAATCTATGGGGGACAGAAAGGAAGTATTAAGTCACCAACAAAAAGAGGTTTTCAGCTTTGGGGGGAAACAAAAAAGTGGAGAGTTGATACATTAGACCCACAAAGTATTTGCTTTATTTTTATATAAATAAAATGTAAAAAATTTGCATTGGTCTGCACACTGATCTCGAGTGAAAAAATAGATAATTCCCTGCGACACAATTCAATATTACCCTTCGCCGTATAAAGAAACACACACACACCAACACGCACATACACACAGAGAAGCAATCTATAACAATAATGTCAGACACCTAGGATGTTAAGCCCACATGTAACGGTCAAAATATAAAAGAAATAAACAAAAACACTGTTAAGACCATCACCACACGCGTTCTTCACACCTTTCGTTTAAATATATTTAAGTATCTCCTCTTTGGTCCGAGTTTCCTGATGTTGGGGATTAATCAAAGTTGATCTGTGGGCTCTCAAAGCCGCTGTCTTGTTGGCAGTCCATAACCCTGTGTATGTGTTTCCTGGATTGTAGTGAATTATAGGTTTTTCCGGCTGCAGGACACAGCACAGTGTTGTTCGGATGGGCGCCAGCAGCACCTCCGGTGCCCAAGTCTGCGAACGTTGTACAGCCTGAATTCGTGGTCCTATGGCCGTCGGTGCAATGTACGTTTTGATTCTTGATAAGTTCCTTCTCGTGATGTCCACCGAGACGGGGTGAGAAAATAGAAGTCTCTTCCTTGACCTCGGAACGAGTGTTGGTCATGGGAAGGGCTGAATGGGAGTCTAGAGGCCCCCTGGAATATATTTTTGGAACAGGATGCTGAAAGCCACTGCTATTGTTGACATGAAGAGTCTCGCATAATAAGCTCCAGTCAACAGAAGAGCCTTCATCTCTTACTGGGGTTTCTTGGACTTCAAAGCCTGGGATTTTCCCAGATGTTGTCACCTTCCACTGTCTAGACTGGCTACATCCAACCTCTGTTCTTCGAGGCCTTTCGTTTAGGCACTTATACTTTTCGCCAGCTGTTCCAAAGTCAAAACCATCCACTGCAACAGGGTGAGTACTTTGAAGCTTTCCTTGAGACACAGAAGAGGAAGCATTCTGGAAGGTTCCAACTCTACACGGTAGACCTTTGTTTCCAGGTTCTTCCTCGCTGAATGCTTCTGCAGGCGCAGCACTAAGTGAGGGGTCATCCAGCTGCTTAAAAGCTTTCCTGGCCAGCTGGGTTTGAGAAACTAGGCGGGACTCGTTTTCAGCATCAAGCTGCGGTTGCAAGCTACGAGGTGTGTGTCTTTTGCCCGCACTTTCATTGTGTGTTTGATTTTCTTTTGGGGTGGACTTAGAATGTTGAATGTAACTTGTTTTAGGTTCTTCGGCTTTGGAGTTTTGGGGTAGAACTGTAAGGCAACATGGAAAAGCAAAAGGAAATTAAAACAAGCACATCCAAACTTCCCACAAATAAACTCAGCATTCCCTGTGTGGTAAATATTATGTTCTCTTATTTTTTTTTAAAAAAAGATGCCACGTGTGAAAATTAGACATGGCAGTATATACCTGAGTGCGGGGTTTTATTTAGTGCTGAGTTCCGAACAGGAGTTTCTAATATTTTAGCCATTGTAGCAATTTTGCCAGCAGCACATATTATTTTCTTTTCAGCCCTGCAAAAATAACAAGACATTTTTTTAAAAAAAATTCCAGTCTTTAAAAAGCCTTTCTAGTCAACTAAGAACCCAAATAAGAACAAAAATGTTTGACCTTTCTTAAAATATTGAAGAATTATTCTTGCTACTTTTAGCTTTATATCCATTCAATTTTAGGGAATATGTGACATGCTGAATGAACCCCATGTCTGTATGAGGCAGAGAGAGAATGAAGGAATATATGAATATAAGAAGAATAAATCTATCTGCTATTTTCTGTTCAAAAGATAACAGGTCTCTTTTTCTCTGTCTCTACAGTTCACCTGAAATTGTTGCATGCACTATACAACCAGAGCAATATAAACCAGAAAATCACTAAAAAAAAATCAACAAAATCCACAAAAACACCTTGAGGTTCATCATCCAAGGAGTTTGCCGAGTGTTCTCTTCACATCTACCATCATTTGAAATGCCTCACCCGTCATGCTTGCCGTTATCAACCAGAAGCTGTTGAAGGCAGATAAGATAATATTTGCGCATTTTTCGGGCGGTCTCCTGCCGTTCCCTTAAAACTTCAGCTTTTATAATTTCTGCTGCTCTCTCCTTACTTTCGTGGATGTAACGAAGCATGTCACCTATGAACAAACCACAATGATTTATATTTGGTGAGGCACATAAACCATAGAATTGCGATGGACAACTTTCACTGAATCTGTATAGGGTGGGTCTGTATGTAGAATTGGGAACTATACTGAAGGACAGAGGATGAGGTAATCCCATGTATGTAGACAGGATCAGAAATCTATTTTTATTCCTCTCTCTGTCTTCTAAGCCAGGGGTCCCCAACCGCTGGTCCGTGGACCGGTACCGGTCCGCGGAACAAGTCTTACTGGGCCGCTGGTTGCTGGGCGCCGCCATCTTTTTTGATGAAAAAGTGCTTCCGGTGAGATCACCGGAAGCACTTTTTCGTCAAAAAAAGATGGCGGCGCCCAGTTGATGCCGGTACCGGTTGGGGATCACTGTTCTAAGCTGTTTCACCCTACATCACTATAAACACAACTGTTTACAGGTTTCGCCAGTAGATATTCAACAAGATTTGAAATATGAAGACGAGTAGTAGAACTTTGAATAACTTTATTGTCACTTTGAATGCATACTTATCGGCATACATTAAATTTTGTTGCATACAGCTCTCAAAGGGTCACCACCTCCAAAATATACTACAGTAGGTAACATATTAGAGGATTCTGTACCATGCATGGCAAATGCTAAAAGGAAAGATCAAAGAAGAGGCACACCTAGAAGATGGAGAGACAGCATCAAAGACCCACTACAACAATGGTTGACACTGCCAGAAGAGCAAGAACCAGAACTCTGTGTCTTTCTCGACACCCGAAGTGGTAAAAGAGGAATTAAAGAAGAGAAGAACATATTAAAATTTTATCTCCGTTGGGAGCTTAAGAACAAGGCTGAATCCATTATGGAATCATCATCTTTACTACTTACTTTTAATTTTGCTCACTGTTTTCAGATACTGGGAACGCATCTCTCCCAAAGCTTTTCCATCACACGAACAACAAGGCTTTGAGATACAGCCTTCTGAGGACGACCTGGAGACAGAATGCCCAAACCAAGAATGAAGTTACAACTGCCCAGAAAGTTTAGTATTATATTAGAATAAAAGTTACGATTTCTCTTGTATTGGGTGGGCTACCTGGGAGGAATATTGACACATTTCAAATCATCAAGTCGGTTCTTCATGGCAGAGTTTTCTTCCAGGAGGGCTTTCATAATTTTTTCATTCTCTAAAAAAAGAGAGGGGAAAAAACCTCTTTAGGTGTTACATTTAATGTGGTGCTACATAATAACCAGCAATTTGTCCTTATTATGATTTAGAATCCCAATGGATTGTTATTCTACTAGTAACCTTTTGGACCTAGAAGGTTTTAGAAGATCGTTACTCTTTGAGAGGTTCTGGTCAAATCCATCGGTATCAAAATACTGTAGTTATTCCAAGGTTCATAACATATGCAGGCAAAAACCATCTCTATTGGCCAAATTACTTCATCTGAAAAAAGGGTGATAACTGGGGAAAACGATACAAAACTTAACAAGAAAATTACTAATAACACGACTCTGAATTGGCCAATTGCAAATGTTTCCATCCTGGAAAGAGTAATTAAACTCCTGGGAGAATGATAGGTAGTTATTTTTTATAAAAGCTATTTAACAAGTCCATTGAAAACTTAACTGCAAGTGACATAATTGTGTTCTACAATAAAGCATCAGGTTAATTACAAAACTTTAAACAAGTGTAACAGAAGTTTATTTTACATGTCAATATATTATTAGATCATAGAAATATCAAGTTATTATACTGTGCTTGTAAGAATAAGGGAAGTTTATTTCACCTATATATTTTCAGAAACATTAAACTACATAAGAATGACGGGATTCTATTTTTACGTACTTTATTGTCATCAAAGTACCAATAAGCGCATGCACATGTGAACTAGCTCTTCCTATTTAACATCGACATGTAAAAGATACAGACCTTGAGCTTGTTCAGACTTTGTTTTTTGTTCCTTCACTGCAAGCTGGAGATGCTTGCAAGCTTTGTCGAGTTTCCTTTTCAGATCCTCACATTCTTTTTCCTTTTTTTCTAGCTGCTGTCGAAAATGCTCAGAACATATCTCGGCTTGCGACAACATATTTTTCTTTTTACATCTACAATCTGCACCAACAAATATGAGAAGTTACCGGTCGCTTTTTGGCTGACCAAACAACCAAAGAGAAAAGATAATCAATCCTACCACCAGATTGTAGTTATTATGGATATTTTAGCTGTTGTTTTAGAAGAAACTTTTCTGGAAGCTGCACAGTTTCATCAGGTAGACTGATAAATCTATTCCTGGTGTTCACTTTCTACAATGAAGAATTAGTAGAGAATTTGAACTAGCATTCTTGAGGAATCCCAGTTACAGGTCTATAATTCTAGGTTTATAGTGTACAAAGCCTCAGTCTTCCATACACTTATATAGCCTTTGAAAACAAAAGAATATTCTGAAGTTTAGCATTCATTGAAATACATCAGAAAATTGGCCAGGACTACAAGCTCAGTAGTTAATGAAGGGGCTCCCTATATTTTAATTCACAAAGATGTCATCCAGTGCCTAACACACTGAATAATATTCGTGTAACTGTAACTCTATAACACAGTAACATTATTTCCAAAGTATTCTTTAATATCTGTGCAATTCTCTATACTCTGAACCAGGGATGTCCAACCTTGGCAATTTTAGGGCCCATGGACCAGAGGTGGTCTTCAGGAGGTTCTGACCAGTTCTGGAGAACCAGTAGCAGAAATTTTGAGTAGTTCGGAGAACCGGCAAATGCCACCTGACTGGAGATTTTGCAGTATCCTTCCCCTGCCACGCCCACAGAACCGGTAGTAAAAAAAGTTGAATCCCACCACTGCCGTGGACGTGAACTCCCAGAATTCCACAACCAGCTTGGCTGGCTGGGGAATTCTGGGAGCTGAAGTCCACAGGCCCTAAAGTTGCCACGGTTGGGACACCCCTGTTCTAAAGTCTCTCTGTTGGCTAATACAGCCAATTGTGACTAGGAAAAACTGAATTTATGCGTTAGGTAAAATAGAATCAGCAAGGCTCAAATTAAAACAAGGAAATGGATGCAATGTCATACCAAAATCTATTTCAGTCTCCTGTAAAGATGGGTGTTTTCTTAGCATCCGTTGGATTTCCACTTGCTGCCCAACGTTATACATGGAACGTATGAATTTGTCTCCAGGCTCCCCTTCACCGTTCTGCATGCAAGAGTCATCCGAATCTTTGAAATCAGAGCCCAGATCTTCACTTTTCTTGAGAGGAACACATAGACATTTTAGAAGAATAGATAGCAATTCAGGACCAACAATCCATCTTGTATTCCAAGAAAAAAAACATCAAGACAGCTGGTAGTCCTTGACTTACAACCACAATTGGAGCCAGAACTTCTGTCACTAAACAATTTGGTTGTTAAGTGAATTCTGCCTGATTTTACTACCTTTTCTGCCAGGGTCATTTCTGTATATTAATTGGCATTTATTCTAGATGAAATAAGTGTCTTTAGTTATTTGCCTAAATCAGGGGTGTCCAACCTTGGCAACTTTAAGCAAAGCTTAAAGCAAAGCTGGCTGAGGAATTCTGGGAGTTGAAGTCCACAAGTCTTAAAGTTGCCAAGGTTGGACACCCCTGATCTAGAGTCACCAAAACGGCCCATGGCTTCCCCATTGTCTTGGCTCATCAGAAGGTCACAAAAAGGGGATCATCACCGTCATAAATATGAACCCTTTTCAAGCCTTGGTTCATCAGTTCAGATACAGCTGTAGCACATTCACCATTTCCCCATAGTAAACTGTGGCAAAGAAGCTTTAAAGCAGGGGTCTCCAACCTTGGCAACTTTAAGACTTGTGGACTTCAACTCCCAGA